ATGTTCATGCCCTGTGCTGACGCTGTGGCAGAGGGCTTGAAAAAAATTCATATGCTGGAATTGATGCTGCTTTCAATTGCTTCTGGCACACGACTTTGCCTTCGTTGCCATCGATAGCTGCTTTCAATATCTAATAATATTGCGCATACGCTCTGTGCGCTTCACTCAGAAGTTCCTTGGATGATGCCGTTGCTGCTGCTTCACTTACACTGAGTGCGTGTTGGCGCAATAATCAACAGTTATATTATGAATGCACAACCATAACGCACACACAAGCATACAGACACACTTCCACTTGCGATGTGTTCATAATGCGCATTTTAACCCCTTTTGGTCTTTGGCGGTGGCTAGGAGGGTGGTCTGTACCATTTCACCCACCCATATGACACTCCATTTAAGTGATACGATAAATTTGGGATTTTCTTTGCATTATGCGCAGATTTTGCTGATTTCTCTACCCACAGAGCTTTTTGCACGCTGGCAGCTTGAAACTTTTTTAATAATAAATAAAAGTGCTTAACTTAATTCGAGCTGTTCAAACCGTTCTTTCATTTCACCCCCAAGCCTTCTCTGAGCGTATGTGTGTGTGTGTGTCTGTACTATGGATTTTCTGCTTGTATTTGCCCATTTTATTTGTTTCTTTGATTTACCACCACACACACATCTATATGCACAGCTTGTGGGTGTGTGTGTGTGTGTGGATATAATTTTTCGATTATTGTTGAGTTTTGGCTTATTTTTACCCCTCGCATTTTGTGGCATTTGCGGCTGTTTACCTCGCCAGCGGCTAAAATGCAATTTATGTGCGTTGGCCAAGTGTTGAGCATTCGGATTTTTGTTGTTTTCTTACTGTTTGTTTGTTTTTTGTTTTTTTTGCTTGGGTTCAGGTTTCATTTTATGCCCCTCCAATGTTATTGCCACTTGTCATTTGCGTGATTTACGCTTATCGCTGGAGCCAAGTGTGTAATTTGCGCTGCTTGTCAGCTTATCGAAATTATGGCTGATACTCGATGACATCGCCCTTATTTAACAGCAGATTCCCAAATGGCTTTTGGAGGTTTCTGTACCCCAATAAGAATAAGAAACATTAATAATAAAGCCGAATGTAAGTCAATGTGCAAAATTCATTTAAATATATGTCAGATGAAATTAAATTCAAATATTTTGGCCTATTGCGAGTTGTTTTAAAGCTTGAAAAGCAATTAAAATGTTAGTGAAATATAGTAAAGACAGCAATTTAGAACTTACGTAGGGAGCTTCGATTATATTACAATTTCTTATTCAAATAAGAATTATTCAGCCTGTTACTCACACTTCATTCACTTAAGTGCAAGCCATTTATTTATTTATTTGTTTATTAATGGTCGACAAAATGAGTGTCTTCCTACTTATTCAATACATTATACATACTTTATGAAAATGTAATGCTAAGAGCCTAGTTAGAGTACACAATTTTCTAATAAGTAGCATCACCGACCGATGGAGGTGTTTTATGTGCCCGTTCGGCCAGCTATGACCCTTTTCACAGCAAATTTTGTTAGTGACCCTATTAAAGCCTACAGCTAAGAAGAAGGTTGTTAGTAGAGAAAATAGTGGTTTTAAGTAAAACCTAAAAATAATCTTAATTTTATATCATTATTTAAGAAAATAAATAGGAAACAGGAAAGAAAGGAGCAGTAACTAAAGTAAATAAATGTATTCTAGATATATAGAGTGTTAGATAGATAGGATGAAGAGATAGTAGTTGGAAATCATCGACCCGGTAGGGGAAAACTTATAGCCTGTACGGCAAGTTATGCCCCTGCCCATAGCTGGGAATGGTCTGTGAGTTCCCGAAGGCATCCTGATGGTAACGATTTTATTAGAGGTAGAGAAAGTTCGGCGAAGAAAATGTTATAAAAGCTATCGTATAGCATAGCATAGTCTGTTGTTCACGTAAGTAGGAATATGGGGTGATAATTCCTGGTAGGTCTAGACGGAACAGAGAATTGAAGACGGGCTGTTCTACGGTTGGTTAACGACGGAAGGCAGCCGAAGATTGGGGTCCCAATTTAAACCTCGTAAATTGATTCTGATTCAGATTCAATACGATCCTGGCTATTGTTATACTGCGGAGACCAGATACACGAGAAGTATTCAAGGATAGGACGGGAGTACAGAAGTTTCGTTATAAAAGGATCCGTAAACTCTTTAGACCATCGTTTAATGAATCCAAGTACATCTTTTGCCTCATTACCTATGGTACCTATATTGAAGCAGAGTTTAGAATCGAAAGAAACGCCTAGATCCTTAACTTTTAGTATGCGTTGCAAAGGAGTATTGTGGATTGTATAACTGACAAGATGAGGTGCAGTGCGATTGAAGGTCATAAAAATACACTTTGAACAATTAAGATGCAATTGATTGGCTGAACACCAAAGTTGCTTAGCGTTGAAATCATCTTTTAGACGAAAATGATGTAGGGGATTAGTGTTTGATAGAATAAGTGTCACAACGACAGCATACATAAGTACATGGGCATGTGATATAACCGAGGGGAGATCATATTTGAAAAGAGTAAAGAGTAAAGGTCCAAGATGACTACCTTGAGGAACACCAAAAGTTTAGAGGCAGTCAGCCTTAGCATTACTTTTTGGGTTCTACCTTTCAAATGAGAGCTAATCCAAAGCAAAAGAGACAGAGGGAAACCTAATCGGACAAGTTTAAGAAGTAAAATATCACGGGGCACAGAGTCAAACGCCTTACTGAAGTCTGTATAAATGACATCAGTTTGAATTTTAAAAAGAAAAGCCTAATTTATCAAGGATGTAAATTCTAGCAGATTTGTAGTAGTTGACCGATTCTTTACGAATCTATGTTGAACAGGGGAGAACACAGATTTGCAGAAATGCTGCAAATTTAAAGTGAAATTCTTTTCAAATAATTTAGGAACAGCGGCCAGTTTTGCAATGCCCCGGTAATTGTGTATATTCGACTTTCCCCCTTTCTTGTGGAGAGGAATGATATAGGATTCTTTCCAAAGCGGTAATTGTGTATATTCGACTTTCCCCCTTTCTTGTGGAGAGGAATGATATAGGATTCTTTCCAAAGCGATGGGAAGAAGAAGAAGATCTGCAAATACAAGATCAAGTGTTTTATTCAAATGATTAGAAATTGAATTGATTTGAAACAACGAAAGGTCTTGCATGCAATCTATTAAGTCATGCTGTGCTGAAGGTACTAGATAATTTTCGGCAGTGCATAATGACCAAGAGATATTCGGTAAATTAAAATCACTTAACATTATAAATAGGTCATTATTTCGCACGTGTGAAGAAACTTCTTTAATCCAAGTAATATATTTCATATAAACTTGAATATCAGAAGAAGGAGGAACACAGGAGCATGTAATATAGATATTCCGTGTAGGAAAAGACACCTTCACTTAGACAATCTCAGCGTCAGTAGGCGTATTAAAACAGAAAAGTTCTGACGAGAGTGGCTTTAACGGCAATTAATACATCGAGTCGGCCAATCATTTCTATACAAAATAAAGTTGTTCGAACCTCCAAATCAGATATAGTTGAATCAGACCTTCTTTCTGAAAATGCGATTATATCCTAATCAAAGGAAGTGAAGTAAAATGGTATTATGTATTTGTGCAAATGTATGTAACAGGCAGAGGGAAGCAACGCCGACCCCATAAAGTATATATATTCTTGATCAGCATCAATAACTGATCTACCCATGTCTGTCTGTCTGTCCGTCCTTTCGTATGTATGAACGGATATCAGAGCCTATAAGAGCTAGAGACTGGAAATTAGCAGTAGGTCCTCCTAGTGCCTGCGCAGATCAATCTTCTATCCGATAATCAATAACTTACTCCATTTCCAAGCAATCGATAAAAAGTGAAATAAAACTACCCGTATTTTCTATTCAATCGCAAGTGTGATTAAAACGACATTTTAGAAATATTTATCAACGAGATTCTTGATACATTTGCGTATAGGCAGCACGAATGGCAACGATTTAGGAAAGTCATCTCATGGTCTTTCAAAATACAACCCACTGTTAAATATTGGACATTAAAAACTTATCAAATATTACCACAAATAGCGACTGCAACATTAGTTGCTGAATCCTAGCTGCAAAAAACTGTAGGATAGAAATATATGGACATAGTCTCATGTTACATTTGCTTACTAAACGTCTGCTGTGATATCAATCCTACCACACAATGGATTTTTTGTTGGTACTCTCGAATTTTTTTTCCATCTGACATTTTTTCACTAATTAAAAGTTACAAATCATTTTTTATGTCAACTCATACTCAGTCTTGGAAATGCAAATATGATTTAGTGTAGCCATCTGTTTTCCTTACTTCTCTCTGCTTCTCTCGCACTTTTTGGCAAGGTAACAATGGGTATACTTGTGAGTTTCACAGCTTTGGTCTGTCGCGTTGTTTATTGTATATTCACCAGGTCGGTGCTCGAGTCGAGGTTATGCACTATACGACTCAGTTGCTCACCAAACCGACAGGGAAACTTATTTTAATTATTTACATGTAACGCAGCCAGTTTACATTTTAATTAATTTTATATTTTTCAATTTAATTTTCTTTGGCCCCACAGATATATAAATGAGTGGCTCATTAAAAATATGCATAAATATGTTTAACAATGTAAAAACTTTTCCAAAAAGCATAAGGATAACCTTTTAAAAAAACAGGATCAGGATATCAAGAGTGTGGAGTCATAACCGCTGCAGATGACGCTCCTGCAACTCTTTTTTGAGAGATAGCTCCTCTTATTGCCCGTGCAATTCATCACCAAACCTAATAAACAATTTTTCCATACAGGTGCATATTCTACTTCATCTAACAAATTTTGTGAGCAAGCAAAGTTGCTTGGATACGCATATAGCTATTCGAGTGGTATCGTGCCTTGCCTTAATTTATTCAAAAGAAAATATATTTCTTGGGTTAAATTAAAGGCGAGTTTTCACATTCATTTTTATATCTATAGTTTAATTTAATCCATTCAGTTCTCAAAATTGATTATCATGTACGTTTAGATTTAAAAATTGCGCAATGTCATACAAAATGTGATGTTACGGATGTGAAACAATAAAAAAGCAGATACATATGATATGACATGATATCGATCTGAAAACTATTTCAATTTCTCCTTCATTCGGTTGAGAGCGCTGCCAGCCTTGAACCACTCAATTTGCTCGGCGTTGAAGGTGTGGTTGAGCTGTATTTTATCGGAGCCGCCTCCGTTTTTGATCTCGCAATCGATGGGCTTGCCGGGAGCCATATCCTTCAGATTAAGCAGCGACAGTTTGCTGGTAGGCTGGACCTTGTCGTAGTCGCTGGGATTGGCAAAGGTCAGTGCTAGCAGACCCTGCTTTTTTAGATTAGTCTCATGGATTCGGGCAAAGGACTTGACTATGATGGCAACTCCACCCAGGTGGCGTGGCTCGAGGGCGGCATGCTCGCGGGAAGAGCCCTCGCCGTAGTTGTCCTCGCCGACGGCTACCCACTTGACATTGTTGGCCTTATAGTCACGTGCCACTTCGGGAACTGCGCCCCAGCTGCCACTGCGCTGGTTCTTGATCTTGTTCATTTCGTTGTTTTCGGCATTGGTGGCGCCTATGAACATATTGTTGGAGATGTTGTCCAAGTGTCCGCGGTATTTCAGCCAGGGCCCGGCGGCTGAGATATGATCGGTAGTGCATTTACCCTTGACTTTGATAAGAACGGTGAGATCTGTGAGATCTTTGCCGTCCCACTTTGGGAAGGGCTCCAGAAGTTGCAGGCGATTCGATTTTGGATCCACAGCAACTTTCACTTTGCTGCCATCTGACGGGGGAGCTGAGTAAGTATCCTGTCCGGGATCGAACCCCTTGGCGGGTAGCTCCTCGCCAGTGGGTGCTTTGAGCTTAAATTTCTTTCCTTTGGAGTCGGTCAGCTCGTCCTTCAGTGGATTGAAGTCCAGGCATCCTACAATGGAGAGCGCGGTGACAATCTCAGGACTGGTCACAAAGCAATGAGTCGCTGGATTGGCATCGTTGCGGCCGGTAAAGTTGCGATTGTACGATGTGACTATGGTGTTCTTTTCGCCCTTCTTCACGTCCTTGCGATCCCACTGACCGATGCAGGGCCCACACGCATTAGCCAGAACCGTCGCGCCAAACTTATTGAACGTCTCGATCATCCCATCACGCTCTATGGTGGCGCGGATCTGCTCCGATCCGGGCGTCACATTAAATGGTATTTTGGCCATCAGACCATGGCTTAGGGCATCTTTGGCAATGCTGGCACAGCGGCCCATGTCTTCGTACGAAGAGTTGGTGCAAGAGCCAATCAGACCCACCTTTATCTCAATGGGGTAGCCGTTCTTCTTCGAGTTTTCACCCAGCTTGTCTATAGGGTGCGCCAGGTCAGGAGTGTATGGTCCATTCACTAGCGGCTCTAGCTTGTCCAGGTTTATCTCAATCAGCTTGTCATACTTACAGCCTTTGTCGGGTGTCAGTAGCTTCTTCTTATACTTTTGTGCCTCTGCGGCAATATTGCCCCGTCCCGTGGCGCACAGATAGTGTATCATGCGTTCATTGAAGGGAAACAGCGAGGTAGTCGCACCGATCTCGGCGCCCATATTGCAAATGGTGGCCTGGCCCGTACAGGAAATAGATTCGACCCCCGGGCCATGATACTCGATGATGGCTCCAGTGCCGCCTTTGACGGTCAGGATTTCGGCCACCTTCAAAATAACGTCTTTGGCTGCGGTCCAGCCGCTGATTTTGCCAGTCAGATGAACACCGATTACATTGGGGCATTTGAGCTCCCAGGGCATGTTTGCCATCACATCGACAGCATCGGCCCCGCCCACACCAATGCAGAGGCCGCCCAATCCGCCGCCGTTGGGCGTATGAGAGTCGGTGCCGATCATGAGGAGGCCGGGAAAAGCGTAGTTCTCCAGTATGATTTGGTGAATGATGCCGCTGCCTGGCTTCCAGAATCCCAGACCATACTTGCCGCTGGCGGAAGCCAGGAAGTCATACACCTCCTTGTTCAGATCCTTGGCGCGCTTCAGATCCTGCTCGCCACAAATCTGTGCCTCGATCAAGTGGTCGCAGTGCACAGTTGAAGGGACAGCCACCTTACTCAGGCCAGAAGAAATGAATTGTAGGAGCGCCATCTGAGCGGTGGCATCCTGCATGGCCACACGGTCCGGACGCAGCAGCAGGTATGACTCCCCGCGCTTGATATCTTGATCGCTTGGATAAGCCAGATGGGAGTAGAGCACCTTCTCCGACAAGGTAAGAGGCCTTTTTAGGCGACTCGCTACACAGTCCAACTTCTCGCTTAGCAGCTTATAAGGCAAGGGTTGGCCAGTTTCGAACTTAGACATGGACACGCCGGAGGACTTTGAGCTCATGGAAACGTTCCACTGACTCATCAAGGGCCTGACGGCCCTTCTGCAAAGTCTGCGCAGCCTCTCTGCTGTCTGTGCAATCATCCTCTTAGTCATGGTAAATTCTTTTAAAATATTATATTTAATGTATTACTAAAACATACAATAATTTTGTCGGAGGGATAAAATATATATTTATACTTCCTTTTATGTCTTAAAAAGAAATATTTTTTAAAAGTCTAGTACGAAATCATTTGCTCTCCAGTTTATGAAAACTTTTGCAAAGGGATCTATTCTACATTTTTCCTGAGATTGAGATTGTTGCTAATAGTTGATGTTTTATCTCTTTATATAAAACTGTTTGTCCTGACTGATTGACTGACTGACTGACTGACTGATTGGTGATCAACGCACAGCCCACACCGTAAGAATTAGGAGGCTGAAATTTTTACTGAAGTTACCTTATGCGATGAAGGCGCACATTAAGACGCGGAAATTCCACACGCAAGTGCGAAAAACGTTTGTATTAAACTTTTTAGCTTACCATCCGATCGGCCTTAAGCTAATTTTCAAAGATCTTTGTTCAAATTCGCTTGAGGGGTGTTTCGCACTTCTTGGAAAATCCATCCCTCCTTGGTGGAAATGGGGGGCCAACCATTTTGTGGGTGACATTTCGCCTTCAAATTCATTTCGGGGGATCTACATAAAAAATCATTTGAGACCTCGATTCCCATTTTTCACGAAATCTATACTCCTTTAATGGAACGCGCATTGCAAAGTTTTTGGTTGGTGAATTTTAAGTTGTTTCCCATTTACATCAAACTTATTTTCAGAGCTCTATATTAGAATATAATGAATACATATTTCAGCGATTTCGAAAATTCCCCTCGCAACAGTGGTAAAATGCCGGATAACGTTTGTATGAAAGTTGTTTATTTACCGTCCGCTCAATTTCAAAATCATTTTCAAAGGTTTTTGAGAACATTGATTTTATAACATACGTGCCACTGGCAAGACCGGTCTATACCCGCTGGTGTACTTATATTATTATTGCTAATTTATGATGTACATGGCTCGTATAAGATTTTATATTGCTTAAACGAGAAACTATTACCAAATCAGCTGTCATATTAGAGGTGAAAACAAGTTCATTGAAAGGCTATTAAGGGCCATGTGCCATTAATCGAACTCAAATTTCCTACAGCTCTCCACTGAGAACACATGGGCCTAAAATGCATACTTATATGTTGACAGGGGCGATATTCTGTGCATATTTGAAAAAATACTATGAAGAACACAAGGAACAAGGGGCATGTCGATGGCAGGGTCGGAGAGAGGAATGTTGTGTGAATGAAGCGTCCCGTTGACATGGGTGATGTTGCAACAATGTGAGTCAAGCGATTCACATGAAACTATGCGACTCGAAAGCTGACGTGAGTCATTTCTGCCATAGGCTAACTGACGTGCTACTACAATGCAAGTGGCAAACAGAAGGACAGCACGTCATTTACTTGAGTGGGGCAGGGGAAAGTTGCAGAGACCAAAGTGTGAACTGCAAGTGAGGCGCACGACGAGCAACGTGGCTGCATCCTGTGATTGTGTTTGCCACAGTGCGCCGAGTGTCAGCAGAACACACTGCAGACACTGGGTATACTGGACAAACTGGACAGTAGTCAGCCAGACCGGTAGTTGGCAGAACCACTTTCAATTGAAATCGACGTGCCTGTTTGCCACAAAACCGTTGATGATGGCTAGGTCGGTCACCGGATGGGTGGGCACAGTCCGTTCGGGAGAGAGGGGCGGGCGAAGGAACCACCAGGAGAGCGGCCGAAACAATACGAAAAATTGATTGGCTTGACACAAGCGCACCCGCAAAGCTTTTCCATATGATGAACTAAGCGCCCAACTTGGCACAACGTTGACTATGATTTTCTATAATTGATGGTTTTCATTTTGCGCCGAAAACCCGAACTATCGCAACTGAACAGTTGAACGTTGACCAACTAATATGTTCAACAATTTGGCTAAGTTTCTTGAAAAGCAATCAGAATTTTCTTTGGTTACGTGTGATGAAATGGTAAGCACTCTGTGCTTATATTTGAAACTAGCGGTTATTGCCCGGCCTTGGCCGTGGAACGTTTTGTGCAAAAAATTTAAGTATTACCATTCCACTAAGTACACGCCCGTGTAAAGTTGAAATCTACCCATCTTGATCTCCACTTCAACTTAAAAATATGTTTTAAATTCATTGAATAAAGAACCAAGCTATGGAGTCAACGATTTAAACCTATTTTAGTCTTGCAGTGAGAATCTCGAAACAGAAGAATATTCTTTCATTAATTAAAACTTTTAGCCACATTTGCTGCTTAAGAAAGTATTAAATAAATTTTTCTTTAATTAACCACTGTTATGCGTGGAATTTTCCAAGTCGCTGAAACACGTATTCATTACGTTCTTATGTAGAGCTTTGAAAATAACTCTGATGCAAATCGGACTTATTTTAAAACGTAGGCAAAAAAATCTTTGAATAGCATTTGCCACCGACGTAGCTTGGATTTTAAGAAGAATGTTAAACACGTCTAAAATGAATTTGGGTGCGAAACGTCACCCACCTAATAATTGACCCCATATGCAAAATGGAGGAATGGATTTTTCAAATAGTGTGTAACACCCCTCAAAAGATTTTAAACAAAGATATTTGAAATTGAGTCTGAGGCCGGTCGGATGGTACACAAAAAAGTTTCATAAAAACGTTTTTCCCGATTTTTGCACCCCGTCTTAACGTGCACCTTTATCACATTTGGTAACTACAGGGTGTGCGTTGATCACCAATCAGTCAGTCAGTCAGTCAGTCATTCAGCCAGGACAAACAGTTGTATATATAGAGATACTTCCAAATAGGACTTCATTATTCTTAATTAATTTTTTTTAAGTCAACAGTAATATATATATAAACAAAACAATTATTTTTTACAATTTGTATCGATTAATTTGGTAAATTATGAAGAAATTGTAAAGAAATTAAAAAATCCGCGCTGATCACTTTACTATGTACGTTATATACACACTCCCTGAACCTATTACAGAATTTCAAAATGTCAAGGCTTCACAAATTTAAGATAGAAATTATTATCCAATTGCTGCCATACATCTCTTGTGAACCTTTACCTATTAGATTTGCAAAATGAAAAATATGCAATTATCCTAAATATATTTGCTACGTTTTTTTATTCGTCGATGGTCTTCCGAATGCAATGGAAGTGTCAGACATGCGTCTCTATCCGCTTCTCATGCTCCTAAATGATTGCATTTAAGAACTTTTGCCATAAATAATGGAAAACTTATTGCTAGCGATTGAACTTACGACAAAGTCTGAAGAAAAATAAAATAAAATAAAAGATATCAGCAGTAAAAAACACCTATGCGTGAGTGTTATTTTGGAAGTGCGGTACAGTAGAGGCATTGAGCACATAAAAACGTTTTAACGATTGTGATAGACTAACATACGAATTTAATCAATGTAAATTTTATTTGCATGTCTTAAAATAGTCTTATAAATACTGAGAATACATTGCTGATCATTTAGTGTTCTGTTAGCTATAAAGCGCATGGCTATGTTGTCAGGCTCTTGCCATTGCAAGTTTTTGTCTGATTGGGCGCATTGTAAATGCAGCTGCAGCGGCAAAATGCCTGAAAATTGTTGAGAAAATTTATGTACTGCCCCCAGTTAAGTGTGGTGTCGGTGTCTGTGGCCAAAGTTGCAACAAAACTGAAACTTTGGATTTAAAAAAAAATGTTAATCCTCGTTTTTGCAGCTGGCAGCGAACAATACGTTTGTTTTTGCTGCCAGTGCGCCATGGCTGCAGCCTCAGCACAGCTTGCGGTAAAACTTTTCAATAATATTCCCTAAAGTCCAGCCCAGACGACGACAACGACGACATGGTCGACGTCGACGTCGACGATGACGATGGAAACGAAAAGGTTGAGCAGGGCGATAAGAGACAACGAAAGGCAACGGAAGTGCCGCCATAGTTAGACATATAGCATAGTTTTCGGCGCTCGGGCAGCCATATTGCAACAATACCCAGAAAGAACAGAACGGACACACATTTATATGTATTCCGAAAGCCGATTTCTCGCCCAAATCACAGCTAATTAAATTCTTTACTACTCAATAGAATTAAGAACAGCAGCCAATCCAAAGAAGAGTATAATTGTGAAAAGTATAAATAAACTTAAGCGGGAGAATAGATTAAAAGTTTTAAATGTGTTTTGGCAAAAATGTTTTTTACATATTTTGTGCTCGTTTCTGCTGCATTCAAAATATATATATACCTTAGAAATAGTAAGTTTTGCCAACTAAAACATAAACGTACGTGTTGTAGTCATCTCATGCAGTGGTTAACTGTCCGCCTAAGACTTTTATGTTTGAGTTTTATTAAATTTAACTTTTAAGGTTGAAGAAGTTATTAGCAGAAAAGAGTCATATCCTTGAGCTGCTGTTGCAATATGATTTTTTATAAAGAATTTAAATTGAAAACAGACAAAAAATTAGACAATATAATAATATAAACTATATCTGAACTATTTACAATATAGGAAGAAATGTTCGAAATTTGCAAAACTAATTATATTGCTTAATTTATTACTTACTTACTTCAATGCCCACATATTTTCAGTTTTAAACGCAGTCTAATTCAAGCTTAAATCTACTTGAATCCTTCTCAACAAAACGTACTAATCTTATCTAAAAAAATTGTATAGATTACGATTTGTGGAACTTACGGAGTTGACCAGGACCAGGACCAGGACCAGGACCCGGGCACAGGACACAGGATACCCACCCACGAGTTCAGCTTTGTTTTAGTGCGCCCGGCAGACAAATTCAGCATTTCCCGCACACGTGGCTTTGGCGATTTCCTTTTGTGCAAACATATTTTACCGCAATTGCGGCACATGAGTTCTAGCTTCATTGAGGCGTAAGTAACTGAGCAGCCTGCTGCCCCCAGGCCACGCCCTGCCAGCTACCTCCAAGCCACGCCCAGCCAGCTGCACCATAATAATGAAACTGAGCCGACTCCTACCGCCTTTTGTGTGTATAAATATGATTTTTTTTGTACCAGTGCGTCTAACTACGGGCCATAACTCGGCTGTAGTTTAAACCTTGGTGCCCCACTCATTTCAGCTTGTTTAAAAAA